TGCATACTCAAGTCTTCAAAGATTGATATTGAAGAAAGCTAATAGCACAAAACGGTATTACCCTTTAAAAATGAAGGGGACATCTGTATAATTGAAGTTGGTTTCTACAATTTCAGATCTTGTATCTTCCGTAGGCTCTGAGGCTCTTCTTTCACAGGTTTCAGGGTTACAAGGTTTTGAAGATGATGAACAACCTTCAGAAAATGATTTACATCAATGATCTTATATGCTGTCCAGCAGAAATGACCAGCAAATCATCCGAGTATCTATCAGCATCTCTGACCGCAAGATCCTCTGCAACAACATCATTTCCAAATCCAACCATAACATTATAAGAAGATGCATGAGTGTACATACATGTAAGCATTGTAGAAAGAACTCGCCAATAAATTGAATTAATCGACGACTTATATAACTAGCCAGTGTCAATAGACGGGTGAAAATGTCATCCATTGATGAGTAGAATCCCAGACTATCAAAAAGAAGACTTGTGTTCCACACCGTATCATTATAGGCCTGATACAAGGACCTATATTAGATCTTTAAGCACAAGGACTGAATCAAACTGACAAAACTAAAGATGCCAAATTGAAACTTCAAACCCCCATAACCTTATTCCTTATGTGGGATAACATAAAAAAGAAATTTAAAAAATCGATAAACTAATTATAATTTCTTAGCTAATCTTGATCAAGAATAAGAAAGTTACAATAGAGAAGAGATACAACAAACATACAGAAAAAGAAGAGATAATTTGCAATAATGCACAATCGTAAAGTTGAAAAGTACTCACTGCGAGAGGCATTTCAGATATTTCATTTTCAATATAGACGTCGCCCATTAATTCTTCGAATCCTGAATTAAGCAACAAAACTATTAAGGTGATACAACAAGACAACTTAAAAGGACGAAACTTTGACACAATCAGTATATAACAATAAGAACCCAGATGAGTAAATCAATCATATGATGAGAAAAACACAACAAATCAACCCCATTCTTTCAACATACTGAACTTAAGTAACTCATCATCAAAACAAAATGTAATAAAGATATCAGATAGCAACTTACAGTCAAAGAAGGACAATCTGCAGAACCCAGAAACAGCCTGTGGCTCAGCAGAAGCAAAGCCAATTTAATTTATAGAGGGAAGAAGAGAAGGAACAAAAATCTGCAGACCCCATTTCCAAGGAAGTTTAAACTTGCTAAACATGAGCTGCCATAATTTTGAATACCATCAATAAACATAGAAGAAAATGAAGTGAAAGAATAGACTAAAAGAAAGTGGCTGCAGAAATGTGTCTGCAATGACACAATATTGCTGGGGTCAAAAGGTGGTGCATCTGATACAGTTCTTGCTCGAAATATCGGCTTCAACGAAGAAAATGGCACACGTACCTGGAAAAAATGCGACAGACCCACCCTGGCGCCCAGACCCGCCTAGCGCCGCCTAGACCCGCCTAGACCCGCCTAGCGCCGCCTAGACCCCCCTAGCGCCGCCCAGACCCTCCTAGCGCTGCCCTGACCCTCCCAGGCCGCCCAGGCCGATTTTTTAAACCTCTCCCGACGACTATTCGGCACAGGTATTCTTATCCCATGTGGGATTCCTCTTGGGATTCCTCTTGGGATAGGACTCTATCTAATACTGTATAAATCAATACAATAAGCCCTCATGATGATTGAGGCTTTAACCCATACGTTCCAATTCTTTCAGCCAGGAACGTAACGGCAAAATTGAAAAATCGGCCGCCTAGGCGGGCTAGGCGGTTCCCTTTTTATAAAATAAAATAAAATAAATTGTATAGCCGCGCGGCTATACTATATTTAAGTTTCATAATTGCAATAAACCCGCCAGGGAAAAAATTCTGGAAAAAGAACAACGCTGCTCAAGTTTTTGAAAAATGGGCCGGCTAGGCCGTTCCTATTTTTATATTTTATAATAAATACTATATTTAAGTTTCATATTTGCAATTCTGTCTGAAGGTACTCTATCTTTCAGAGGAGGGATGATCTCCATTTTTGACATGACAACATTTAAGGTAAACCCAACACCCAAAACTTCCCAAATCTTGTTTGTCAATATGCTTTGGTTCTGTTTGCAAATTTCTCATGATCTAACTCATCGTACTCATAAAAATCTGTTGCATAAAAACGCAGACGATGAAGAAAGTGCCACCACCATCGCCACTTGCGGCAACATGTCTTGCTTTTCACTCCCGAGATGACGGTATAGTTGCTATTGGCATGGACAATTCCACCATTGTAATATACAATCTCCACTCAAACGGGGTAGTTTGTTTGTTCTTGTAAAAAAACAAATCATGCTCGATGTTGTGATGAAGCAAACCCGAAAAGTTTGTCATTGCCTTGATTTATATATTTTGCAATTTCCAAGGAAGCTTGAGGGTCACTCCAAAAGAGTCACTAGCCTTGACTTCTCAAACACTCTAAATGTCCTAGTTTCTTCTGGTGCTAATGCATATTGGAAACTACAATATTACTTTCAGACATGGCTTCTACTCTAATGTGACTTCTGTTATTTAACGACCTCGTTTTGGCCCTGCAGATTTTTGTGTGGGAAAAACAGAGAAGCACATGCACCAACTGGAGACTGAGGCTGCTCTTGGAGTGTATTCAAATGACTTTAGTTCATCCAAAGTAGTTCGTACAGATGGGTCTCAAGTGCAGTCAAATGACTCGAGTGCCCCGAGCGTAAGCTCCTACTGCTGTCACTCATGCGGTACAAGCATTGCATTGGCATCAGACCGTATTTGGACCTCTTTGATCGACTGACACCACGGCTTATTTCAAAAAGTGTAAGCTTCAGAAAACTATTTGATCAATTCACTGTTTTACGCTTTCTTAAGTTTTTAAGTTTTTCAATCTCCATGCAAGCTTACTTTGGAAGTGAAGTGTCAACCTTCATATCCTGATGATGCTATTTTAGTGGCACTCGAGGCCAAATGTGTTGTTTGCAAACTGTGTCTGGGATACAAGATTGAAAAACTGCGGGATCGTAGCATTATATTACTAAAGGAGGGCTAGTTTTTCCTTGACATGCAGAAGCTAGATGCCTACATGCCACATGGAGTCTGGTAATTGTCTTTAATTTCTGGATTGTTTTATTCTAAATCACCTTGTTTTTCATTTATGTGAAGTCACTTTTAAATTATTACATTGTAGAGTGTTTGAGAAGTAAATGCGCTCCTTTTTTAAAAAGAAATAAAAATTGTGGACGACCGCTCTAGATTTCTCTTATATGATCAATTTGTTAAGATCAATCCAAACTGGTTAGTACTGATTATACTGTTTAAAGGTCCACATCTATCAACTTCTTTGCGTTTTTGATAATGTTATTACAAAATAATTGATTAAGAAAGTTACGGAAAAATTTGGTAGCTGGTTGTCAATTTTTATTTATTTATTAATTAAATTTTATTTATGTACTTTTCTGGGTTTGAATAAGTCACGGCCTGAAACTAAAATCCGGAAAGCTTTAAACTGGAAGAAAAAGAAACACACCAAGCCCAAAATACAAAAGAGATTAGCCCAATCAAAAGCTTTAAACAAGGGGAGGACCGTACGGTACATGAAAAGCCCAATAATTCTCTTGCAATCCTCACATGATCACATCCAATTCCAATGGGTCTGATCTGATATTCAGATTACGAGAGGGAAAAGAGCCTCCAAGTTTCCCACTTTGCATGCTAATTTTTTTTTATTTTCTTTCAGGTTTCCCAATTGTAAAGCATGAAGATGAGCAGCCGAGGCTTAAGATTCCCACTTTCCAATTATAATTTTTCGAACCTCCAAGTTTCCCAATTTCCATCCTAATTTTTTCTTTCTGAGTTTCCTACTTCATGGAGTCCCTTATCAAGCACATCCCTCCCTCCCCCAAGCACATCTTCACTTAATTTTCTCTCTGATTAATTTTCTCGCTGATTACTCGTGGTAAAGGAGATTCTACAGTGCAAGAACTGCAGCACTGTTATTGCCGTAGCGAATGATTGCATTAGGGTGACTATGAAGGTAATTTAAATTCATAATTTTAGTGATAACGATCTTGTTCTGCAAGCATTCTGATCTGGTTGAGTAAGGAAATTGTATTTCTGAATTTTCAATGCTATTGTAAATTTAATGGCTATTCATGGCCAAAGACCTTCCCCATCTGTTCCCACAATGAACAATCTTTTCAGCCGTTGCTTCTTCTTCTTTTCTTCATCTTCTTTCATTGTTCAATCACCAGCTCCTAAGCTCTTACTTCTTGTTGTTAAATGCTTCTCTGTAACTTCAGAGTCTTGGTTTTGGTTTCATGCAGTTTCCTCAATCCTTTTTGTTGTTTTTCTTTGAAATTACGATGAGTTTTTCAGCCATTTTACATTTTGAACTATCACCTAATCGAATTTAACCCCCCAACTTAAAATAGCCATGGCTAAATCAGCTGTTTTAATTAGTTCAAGTTTTTGGTTCGTGAGGGTTAACCTCGATTAGGGTCATAGTTCGAAGAGTAAAACGGCAAAATCATTGAAATTTGTTTTTATAACATGTTACCTTTTTTTTTCTTCCTTCTTCTTTCTTTTGCAGGAGAGACATGGAATATTCCTAAAATGTGTAAACTTGGCTGAGGTAGAGAGGGAGTACCGTGATCCTTCCTTTAGCATACTGGCGACATATGTGAAATGCGCTGCGTGCCAAGCTTTCTTGGGATACAAGATTCAAAGGGTGGAGGATCCCGCCATTGAATTTACAAAGGAAGGCTGATTCGCTTATATGTGTTGTTGCATTAAGGAACCTGTTGTGTCGAACTTTTCACATGGGCACTCTACCATCCTCGCCAAAACAAAACTGAGCATGGCACCAAACATAAACTGACTACCAACACCTCAACTACAGAGGGACCTATTTTCAATTAAGAAAAACCTATACTGCCAAAAAGACAAAATTATGAATAAAGATTCTTAAAATTTTATTAACACAGCAAAGAATCATAATTTCTTATAAACTCTATTTCTGAGCCTGCATTCTATACGAATAACTAACACTGCATTCTATAATGCATTAAGTCACCAAACATACATGCCAGCTAAAAAACAGGAGGAAAAAAAAAGAGTAAATCTTACTGCTTGTTAGATTTCTCCTCTCTTTCCTTTCGAAATTGAAATCGGAGCGATAGTTGGTCATTTGATTATGATGATATTGATTGAATGCAAGCAACTCCCAAGGTTCACCCTAATTTATGGAAACCAAGGAGTGGCTTAGAGCTGATGAACAATGACCTTCCCAGCACCAACCCTAAAGAAGAGGCTATGTCCTGCTTTGATTTGTCCAAGAATGATTCATATCTCATATCACCAACAGGAGGGATGATCTCCATTTTTGAGTGTTTGCAGAGATCCTAGACCCGCCAGGAAAAAAGAAATCTTAAAAAAAAAACACCATTCAGGTTTTCTAAAAATTGGCCGCATAGGCGGCCTAGGCGGGTTCTTTTTTTTATTTTATTTTAATAAATAGTATAGCCGAGCGGCTGTATTCATTTTTAATTAATTATATTATTTATAAAGTGTAGCCGCCGGCTATAGTTATTAAATTTACTATTTAAATAGTATAGCCGAGCGGCTATACTCTTTTAATATATTATTTACAACTTATAGCCCTTAAAAATGGTTCATGGAGTATCTCAATTTCCAAAATGATTCATGTGGTCCCTTAACTTCACTTTCTTAGGACAAATGGTCCTGCCGACAAATGGTCATGTCATCAATTTTGTTAACTTGTTCTGTTAAATACAAGGGCAAAACAGTATTTTTATATTAAAATCAATAAAATCAATAAATAATCATATCTTTAAAATAACAATAAAAGAAAATCAAATAAAAAACCAACAAAAAAAAAAGGCTTTTAATCACAAATGGTCCTTGACGTTTATGAAATTATCACGAATGGTCCTTGAGGTTTTTTTGTGACACTAATAGGCCTTAACGTTTGGACTTTTTATCACAAATGGTCCTTGCCGTAAAAAATTATGTTAAGTGTATGATGTAGAAGATAAGTGGAGCCCACATGTACAATCACATCGTGACATGTGGATTAAATAAATAAATAAATTTTTTTTTTAATGAAAATCCATTAAAAAACCATTTAGCCTCTCTCTCTCTCTACTCTCTAAATGGTTTTTTAATGGATTTTCATTAAAAAAAAATATTTATTTATTTATTTAATCCACATGTCACGATGTGATTGTACATATGGGCTCCACTTATCTTCCACATCATACACTTAACATAATTTTTGGCGGCAAGGACCATTTGTGATAAAAAGTCCAAACGTTAAGGACTATTAGTGTCACAAAAAAACCTCAAGGACCATTCGTGATAATTTCGTAAACGTCAAGGACCATTTATGATAAAAAGCCAAAAGAAAAATCAAGTTTTGGGGGAGTAGAAATCGGGATAAAGGTGGGGGAGAGAGAGTTTAATTTTAATTTTTAAATGTTTTAAA